ATGGCTCGCTAACTACAAAAGCAGCTTCTCCTCTCTTGGAACCTCCAGATCATCTACTAGAAGTGGGCCTCATCCTTCCTGATTGGATCCACCTCGTCATCTCTAGCCTGATTCTGGCCTGCATATTTATACCTGCCTCTGGAAATGTCCACTACATGCATCTGACGAAGTGGGTCTTTGCCCACGAAAGCTTATGCTCCAACACTTCGGTTAGTCTATAAGGTGCCACAGGACTCCTTGCCGCTATAACCAAGATGGTCTCCTGGAACAGGGTAGTTTTGCTAATTGCATCCCTAGAATTTGCAGGGGGTGCTGACAGAACTGCAGCAGTGCTGGAATTGGATGCAGAGGGAGCACACGGTTCTCACTGTCAACATTGTGCACTGTCAGCATGCACTTCACTTCCCGTGTCTTGGTTTTACGTGTGTGTCTCTTTAGTGATACCGGAAGGGGGGGAAATGATGCGGATGGAAACCAACAGAATCTGGCAACCCTGAGCATGGGCATCAGTAAACAAAATGTCTCATGGGCCACCACCCCAATGGGTTGAATTCGGCCCACGGGCCACAGGTTGTCACCAGTGCTCCTCGTTCCTAGGTTGAAAAGGATGCTCTTTCAGTTAAGGAAGAGGCATCGTGATTAGATGACCCTGAACCTTGAGATGAAATTCCAGCTGACTTCAGACCCAACATTTTCTGAAGTTCGAATAAGTGTGGTTAGCTCCTTGATCGTAAGTTTCATTTGCTTTTGTACCTCATGCCTGGCTGAGGCCAGTAGTGGAAGTGCCACCACACTGTGTGACAAGAACTATTTTTGCAGTATTTCCATCTGATGAAGTGGGTCTTTGCCCACGAAAGCTCATGCTCCTACACTTCAGTTAGTCTATAAGGTGCCACAGGACTCCTCGTCGCTTTTGCAGATTCAGACTAACACGGCGACCCCTCTAACGCGGCTACACGCGGCACGGAGTAGCTAGTTCGGATTAGGCTTTCTACGAGGAGTACAGCTAGTTCAGATTAGAAGCCTAATCCGAACTAGCTACTCCGTGCCGCGTGTAGCCGCGCGGCACGGGGTTCGAACTAGCCGGCATTTAAAAATGGCGCCGGCTGGCTTCATGCAAATGAAGCCCGGGAAATTCAAATCCCGGGCTTCATTTGCAACTGCGGATGACTACATTACCCCCGCTAGTTCGAACTAGTGGGGTAGTGTAGACATACCCAAAATGACTGGAAATCATTCATCACTTGGCCTCTGTCTTATAACGGGGGCTCATTTCTGGTGGACTCCTTTTCTCAGCAGTTTTTGCTCTCACCTCACAGAGTGTGTCGGTGGCTTTGGAGTGTGCCTCATATTGTCCCCACTGAATATATTTGACCCTTCACTTCTCTCACTCATCCTCGATTCTCACCTCCCCAGGAAATGCATCTTTAATTCCAGTTACCATGGACATGCAAGCTTGACTACGAAAACTAAATCGATTTTAGCTCACATTCCTTTGTATGCTTTCCCTAGAAATGTTACTATGTATGTCAGTTCCAGAAAGTCAGCTCAGAAATCTAAAATGCTCTGTTTAGAGCGAAAGACTTATATCGCTTTTCGAACCATTTAGTCCCAATCTGAGAAGAAATCTTAAACCTGAGCTTTCTAATTGTTTTCCTGCCCTAGCCTATTATTTCCACTGTTTAATTAAGAAAAAGAATAGGCAGGACTGATTTTCCTGTGTGTTCTGTCTCTATTTTCCCTTTAACTCCTGGCAGAGGAAAAGAATTGAAAGGATGTTTTATCTCCCTTTCACCCATCCCTCATTACAGCTTTCAGTTACCTGGTATTATTAAATATTCTAGTCAATATTAGCGGGAGCTCTTTGAAGACACAGTAACCCGTAGCCTCACTCTTTCAGGCTGAGCAGAAGGAAAGACTTCAAACGTTAACCTTTTTATTATTATTTTAAGATAGCAAGACTGAGTTCCTAAGTTAGTCTGTTTTACACATCTTATTTCATTTGCATTCATTTTTCAATTTTTTTTTCTGGCTTGGAAAAATTTGTCCAGGAGCTCCAAATGGATAGTCCACTGCTGAACGTCATATATCAGCACAGGTTCTAGACCACTGAAGGTGCTGAGCATTCTGGCCCAGTCCAGCAAAGCACTTAAGCACAAGCTTAACTTTAATCAGCCCCATTATACTCCACAGCTGAAGGCAAAAGTAGTTTTGTCATTGATTTTAACGGGCCCAGGATTTCACCTGATGGGAATTAAAATCAAGCAAATTAAATGATCTGCTTGTCTGGAGCAGAGTAGATATTACCTTGCCGGACTGAGCCCCAGAGGCGTGAAGCTGTAACAAGAGTCCACCTCCTGCTTGGTACCAAACTGTACCAAGAATTCTCCTCCTGCTTCTCTGATCTCCATCCTAGTGCAAGAAACTTCCGCATACTACAGGCCCCGTTTCTTCAGATGCAGCCTGCACAACCGGGGCCAAATTTTCAAAAGTGCCCAGCATTCAGCAGTCCCCACTTGGACATATCAGCACCCAACACTTTGGGTTTCTCTATGTGACCAGCCAGCCGGGAGGCAGATCTACAGCACTTTAGCACTGTGCACACTAACTGTCCGTGTGAACCCTGCACCACACGAAGGAACCTGTCGTGCCCAGCATTAGGTTCTATGCACACACTGAGCACGCAGCATGCTGGAGGAGGAGAGCCGAGCCAGCAGCACACACTTCAGCTGCACATGCAGGCTGAGCTCTTCTGAAAACCTGGCCCCAGCAGCGGGTGCTGAGCCGTTCTGCAAATTTCACCCTAAGAGGTGGGGCCTGACCCCAATGGGAGTTTTGGGGGGACTTCAGTGGGAGCAGGATTGTGGACAAGGGGTCCAAAGTGACAGGGAAATAAATCTTGGAGAGGGCATCATGCAATTTGACCAGTCCGCAAAAGCTTTGCGCAAAAGGGACTTTTGCCTGAACAGGAGCAGAATAGTATTTCCGCAAGAAGCACTGATTTCTTATAGTAGAAAGTCAGTGCTTTTGTGGAAATTCAAGTGGCCAGTATAGACAGCTGGCAAGTTTTTCCGGAAAAGCAGCTGATTTTCTGGAAAAACTGGCCAGTCTAGACACAGTCTGAGCGTCTGACTGTGATCTCCCTCACAAACATTTTACACCAATGTATCTTCACCGACCATATTTTTAAACTATTATTAAGCCAGAATCAGGGCACTATAACTTACCTTCTGCTCAGCAGTTGCTTTGACCCTGCTTGGTTTTAAAGCATATGACCTATTCAACCTCTAGCCAACTGACTTTGAATCCTTTGTCAGACACATACGCGTAACACAGCTCAGTTATTCCACCCCATAGTAAACTGAACCCTCCCCAACCTTTAAGGGCACGTCTACACAGCAGGACTAAAGCCGAAATAAGCTACGTAACTTGAGCTACATCAATTGCGTAGCTTAAGTTGAAATAGCTTATTTTGGCTTTTGGCGCTGTATACCCAGCAGGAAGTCTGAAGAAAAGCACTCTTCCTCTGACTTCCCTTACTCCTTGCGAAACGAGGGATACAGGAGTTGGAATAAGAAGTCCTCCAGCTCGACATTATTTTGACATTATGTCGAAATAACTGCTTGTAGTGTAGACACAGACTATGTTATTTTGGAATACCACTAGTTATTCCAAAATAGCATTGCTGTGTAGACTTACCCTCAGAGAGAAATTGATGGGTGCCCCCAAATCAGTGTCACACTACACTTACATTTTCCTTTTAACCAAAGTGCAATTTTTCAGGAGGTTTGGGCTCAAATTTTGCAACATTTAGATGAGTGAAGCTGCTCCTACTTTTGTAAATATATATATATAATTGGGGGGAGGAGTG